TGAGGCCTCCAGGCAGCTTCAGTACGAAGTGACTCTGTCTCATACTGGACGTTTTATGTTTGTTACCATATTGTAGATGTAATATGGCGGCTTGTGCTGCATCATCGTCAGTCCAAAAGTGCACAGCCCGCAGTAAGAAAGACAGAGACCTGCATTTGCAATCGTCGGCCACAGCTCGCCCCTCATGAGCTGCGTAGACAGCAGATAAAGTGCGTCTCTTTGGCGTTCTGCAACGCACCACACTACTACCAGGGAACGGGGTACCCGTCATTGTACTCCCATGCTTCCCTTCACTGCACAACTCCCGAAGTTATGAGCATGGTCCGCTTTAGGGACCAGGAACTACTTCGGTGGAAGCATCGCTCACTGGCTTTCTTGGTTTATTACTTAGAGAAGCACTTCTAGTAAGGGCTGGCAGTACTAATCGCTTGCGCGACTTGCATTCACTCCAGGGCCCTTGGTACTGGCAGTGCAATCCAATTTCAAGATGCCAGCTGGGGACTAGCTACCAGTTCAGTGAGACCATAGTGTGTGCACTGCCTTGTACGTACTGCTTCTGCTTCACCTGCAGATGTGTTCCCATCTGTGCAAACAGGGGTGACGGGCCCAGACCCCCTCTTAAAATAATACATGAAAAGAACAGCACTTCTGATATGCTGTCAAACGTGGGGGTTTCTGCTTGTGCAGTATTGCCGTAGGTCGTTGTGGATCACATTGTTTGTACGCCTTTGAACCGATAGATGGCAATCCAACAACGCATTTTATTCACCTTGCAGCTCGCTGCTCGCCCTACAAACGGGGGGAATGGGCGCGGGCCCCGACCTAACGGCGGGCAAGAGAAATGCTGGGGTTTCTGTGCTCGACTCCAGAAGTGCAACATAGAGTGTAGCAGAAGACCTTCGCAATGAAGTCAGTCAGACAGAGGGTTTGAGAAAATTACGGAGGCAGAAGTGCATACAGAGAAAAAGAGAGCTCCGGGTAAGGCTTACGCCTCTGCGGGAGCGCCTG